ATTTATTTCAGCTGTTAACCTGGGATCCAGGCATAAGCTTCAGAGAGTCTATGAATGCACAATTTGGCAATAAATATAGATATAGACGTAGCTATATGGGGGGGCATGGAAGGCTGTTCATAGTTTTCATCAGATTCTCCAAGGTACATGTGACCCCAAAAACCAATGATTTATATTAACTTGGCTCAGGGAAAAATACCTAATGTAGGAAACCGCCTACCACACAGCTGGTAGGAATGTTAATTGGTTAAACTTTTCTGTAGGGAAGTTTGGGTACACTCGTGTGTGTGTGCGTGTGTGTGATTTAAAATACCCATAAGAACATATGATGGAGTTAAAATAATGCAGAACAATGTAAACTGGGGGGAAGAGAGAAACAAACAAATTATTAAGACAGAATGTAAATCCTGGGTTGCGGGCGGGACCAAGAATATACCAGACTTGTGGTATGATAAACGTATTATTTCAAATTAGTGAGGAAAGAATGGATGAAGGTAATACGTATCCAAAACCTTGAGATTCTTCACCACCAAATCACATTGTACAGAGAATGTTACAGAACAGTGGTTAGATGAGCATCCTTGTTTGGCTCCTGCCTCTAATGGGAACTCTTCTAATGTTCTCATACAAGGAATTTCATCCCTGCTGACTTGACATGGGTATTCCTTATGTCAATGCAGTAGCCTATTTCTAGTTAACTAAGAGCTTTTCCAACTATAAAGATAACCACGATTTATCTTTGATTTTAAAACATAAAAAAAATTGTCACTATGTGTGGGATGGAGGTTACCTACACTTATTGTGGCGATCATTCTGAAATAGATACAAATTTCTAATCGTTTGCTGTGTGCCTGAAATATCCATCAATTATATCTCAATTGTTTAAAAGTAGTTGTTTATGTTAATAAAATATCACCTGAATTATCAGAACTCTACTTGGTCATAGTATATTGTTTTTAATAACATTTTGGATTTGATTTGCTAGCATTTTATTTACCTTTTTGCATCGTGCTCTTCAGGCAGATTGGTTTTTAGTTTGCTTTTTTTTCTTTTTTGTTTTTGCCACTTTTCTTAGTTTGGGATATCAGGGTTCCTTTCGTTTGAAAAACTGAATTGGGACACTTGCCATCCTCTTTTATATTCTGGAAGATTTTAAGCAGCAAGGATATTGGCTTCTTTGAGGGCTAAAAGATGTGTGCTTTCTAACTCTGTGGAACAGGCATCTTTCATGGAGCAATTATTTAACAATTTCTCCATTTCTTTATTAGTTTTTTCAAGTTACTACTTCTTCTTGAGTCAATGTGGCAATTACATTTTCCTAGAAAATTCATTCATTTTAATGAGTTTTTCAAATTCATTGAGTCATAGCTTCTGTTTTCTTATAATTAAAAAATCCTTTTGGCATATCTTCTCACCCACTTCTCCTTCCCAACATTGTAAATTTTTTATTTTCTCTTCACTCTTCATGATTACCCTTGCTGTGCCTTTATTATTCTTTTCAAAGATTCTCTTGCATTTATTCCCTGATTATTGCCTTTGCTAATTCATTAATTTTTGCTTTAATCGTGACCCCACATTTCTGCTTTCCTTAGATTCCTTTTTCCTTTTTTATTTCCATTTTGATTAAATTGTTACTTCATTTAGTTTTATTATTTCTTAACAACAAAAGAAAATTTGTGGCTACAAATTTTTCTTTGCACAGCTTTGGCAGAATCCCAAACATTTTGATTTTGTTCTCATCACTATTTTGTAGCAGAATTTTCATTTTCTCTTGGATTCAAGAGTAATTTAGGAAAAAAACTTTTTTATGTCTAAGTGATTGCATGTTTAAATTGTCCTTTTGTTGTTTAGTTCTAACCTAATTTATTATAGTTAACAACCAAAGCTTAAAAAGTTTTTTATTCTTGGAATTTACTAAGGTTTCATTTGAAAGACAGCATATGATCTAAGGATATTCGAAAGGAACGTATTTATATTTGTAGAATAGAAAATCTTGATTTGCATATATTAAAGTAATTATATTAAATAAATTATTCAAATTCATCATACCTTTACTTAATGTTTATCCTTTTGAGGTGCCACAGACACTCAGGTTTCACAAAGTGTATCCATTATGTATTGCTGCATAACAAACCACCCCAAAATTTAGTGCTTTAAAACAAAGACATTATTTCTCACAATTCTGCGAGTTGGCTGGGTTCACTCTTACAGTCAAATTCAGCTGGTGGCTGGGATCAGGGCTGGCTTCAGCAGTGGTGAGCTATCTCTGCTCCATGAACCCTGTCATCTTCTACTAGACTAGATCGGGCTTCTGCCTATGGTGTTAGAAACATTCTAAGAGCGTAAGCCCTAATGCACAAAGTTTTTTAAGTCTCTGCTTGTATCACCCTTTTTGCTGAAGTCCCATTGAACTAAGCAAGACACACAGCCAAACCCAGACTCAATGTGGGAGGGGACTACCCAAGGGCATGAGGTCAGGAAGTCTTCGTTGGGGGCCATTAATATGACAATCTACCACACAAAGGGATTATAATTTGTCCTCATAGCTCTCCTTATATTTGTAGTAGTTTTGACCAAAATAATCCTGTTTATAAATTAATTTTTTGCAACAAATTTTAGTTTTCTCGTAATTACATTACCTCCCCAGATTTCTTTTGGTTTGCATTTACAGGGCAATTGTTTTTGCTTCTTATGTCACTGTTACGTGCATTTCTTAAAAGCTTCTAGTTGGATTTTGTATTTTAAAAGGGGAGTCAAAACTATTCATGTTTAATGGGAACCCAGAAGCATTTGTTCTTACTTCTACCATCTGATCATATATACACTTTCTGGCTTTCACATTTCTTGGACTTTTCCTCATTCTTCTTGCTAACTCAGTCTCTCTCTCTCTCCCCCCTCCCTTTTTTCCTCTAAAAATTTGGATGTTATATGTTCTATTTTTATTCTTTTACTAGCTATCTTTAAATTTTTAAAATTAATTTATGTGTCTATCAAAGAAAAGAATTTTACAGTAGGTATGAATGCTCTTCAATGAAAGATGACAAAATAAGCACATTTTTGCTTTCCCTTCTCCTATGCCATCCTGTCCTCTCAGTTTTTACAACAATAATCTGGTCTTTAGATTTAGATTATTATGATAATTTAATCCCAATTCCTAATCCATTTATATGTGTTTTCTTTCAAGAATTATCTTCAATAGTTTTATTAAGGTTCCAACCATACCTTCAGCTTCACATATCAGACTACCTAAAAGTGGCTCAGACATTAAGGACATTTAATTACACCATATGGAAAGGAGGGTAAAGGGAGGCATATCCAGGGTTGGTTCAGCAGCTCTTAAAGTTCTATGCGGGCATCTCTCAGATTCTCTTGGCCTTCTCCTCATGGTCACAAGATGGATACCACACTCCAGATATTTCATCCTTAGACAATCATCTTAAAGGCAGGAAGAAAGGTCAGGCTACCTCACTGCCTGTCTTTATCAAGAAACAAATTCCTCCCCAAACCTAACAGGAGACTTTCTTTAACATTTCATTGGCCAGAACTTAGTCACACGCTCAGTCCTAAGCCAATCATCAACAACGGGCAAGGAATTTTCTTGCTTCATCCTTCGGGTCAGGGCATGTTGTCAATCACACAAAATTGGGATTCTCTTAGTAGGAAGGAAAGAAAAATGTTCATCCTATTGGCATCCAACAATGATGCCACAATATATTAAAAATCAGGAGTTAGGCTCAACATTAAGTTTTACTGCTTGTATCATTCACTGCCATTTCTTTTACATTATTGAGTTTATTTGCTTGGCTTGAATATTTTCTGTGGAGTCTTTATTTCATTTGGGGTGGTACATGAATGGTTTACTTTTTTACAGCTGCTTGTCCAAAATATCAGAATTTTGTGTAAGGAACAGAATTGCATCAAAATCACTTTCCCTCAAAATTCCACACATATTGCTTTGTTGTCTTTGGCATTTATGTGGCAAACATCAAGATGATATTTTTTCCTTCAGAGGTAACCTGATTCTTCTGCTTGAGTGGCTTCACGAAGCAGCGAACACTTTTCCTGTCCATTGTTGAACCCCTCATGCCTAACCCAGTGCCTAGAACACAGGCTCGTCATAGATGTGTGGAATGAATGGATGACAGAAAACAACGAAGAGCCAGTTGTCGGTGGAGGATCCCAAAGGAGCAGTTCCGCCTTCATGTTGAAGACTTTCTTTGCCCTGCATGTTGTAACCACATAAAGCTAGCTGGGAGCCACGTGGCTGCCCTCATTGTTGCTCCTTGGCAATGTTCTCTCTGTGCCAGGCATCAAACATGAGCCCCTCAGTGGGATCCCTGCCCTGTGTGCGCCCCAATACCTGGACACTTCCTGGATGCTCCAAGAGGATGGAGATTTGCCCCTCCCGACTTTCCCATGATTAATGTTTGTCCGTAGCCTTGTCACAACCAACCTTGGGAGTGTTGCTGGGTTCTGGTGGGGGTCCCTCCTGAGAGAGGCCTTTCTATTCTGTGAGGTGAATTGAAGGCTGTCAAACCTTTCGCTCAAACTGGTCTCATCTGCATCAAGTCGTAAAGAAATTCCTTGAAATGTCTGGTATGTGGGTGGAATCCTTTTTCAGTTTTGAAGAATGACAGATTTTCCCCTATCATTATTTTCCTTTGGCTGTGTCAATGGGAGTTTGGAAGAGAGACAGGATGGGAAGTTCAATGTGAGGATTTGAATGCCTGTCACAGAATAGAAGTCTGTCCTTGTACTTTTCCTAGTCTCTTTAGACAAAGTCCCCTCCACCTTATAGCCCTATGTATGTATAGCCCTATGTATGTATGTATGTATAACTGCCCCCTTCTCATCACCAAGCCCTCCCGTTTGGAGATACAAGAACAGTTTCTCTTCTATCAGCTCCCTGCTCCCTTCCTGGGCTCCCTATTAAACATATTTTGGATATCCTGGCTTTGTTTTTCTCTGTCTCATATCTTATGTCTCATAATTTTTTTTCCTTTTCCTCTGAGCTTGGGGAGAATTTCTTTCATCTCCAAGTCTTAGAGACTCTGACCAGTCTTTGTAGCTGCTTAGATCACCAGTGGAACCATCAACCTTCAAACTTTTACTGGGCTTTACACCCATCCTGTGATCTCTCTCAGGAAGGAAGGAGTCAAGCTTAATACACAATATCAACATGCATTCCCAAGGCAGACCTGAGAGCTGGGGGATGGAAGATGTTAAGCAGACGGTCAGACCGTCTTTGGACAACACTGTCCGTGAAAATTACCCAGGTAGCTGAGGACAAAGAAAATGCCTCTATGGCTTCTTGCCCCACCCATTATGCTGGTGATGAAAACCATGAAAATGGATTCAGCATAAGGTTTCCTATTTTTCTTTGGCTAGAGATAAGGAATACACTAATAGCTGAGGCCTCAGCGGGGGCGGATCCTTGGACAATACCTTACTTTGGATTAAATTTCTTTTCCTAAATCCCTTAACACATTAAAATCTCCTCACTCTGCCTAAACACAGTTCTCCAGAGCCCTTTATAAAACCTCTCTCTCTTTCTCTCTCACACACAGATGACATCTGACCTTTGCCATCCTACTGTGCCAGGCACCCTTTACTATTTTCCCTTTGGGTCCCCGTCTGCCAGTGCCACTGAGGAAGGCCCTGCAGCCACCTGAAGTCAACTCTGGTCATTGCTCTCCAAGGCCTGCCTGCAGCAATTGAAACTCCTTCAATGCTGTGGCTCATGGCTGTGCTTCCTCCATAAGAGTGTCTGGGCCATTTAGTCACTAATATCTTGGGTAATTGCCGAGCTAAACAGTGAGCTCAGCTGGCCTGAATCATTCAGGGAAGACTCTGATGCTTGTGGCCCCACAATCCCTTCCACAAATGAATCAGGAAGGAGGGGGAGGCTGATTACAGTGAAGAAGGGGACTCTTTAAACATATGCTCTATAATGAGTACGTAGAAGAAAGGAAAGGGAAAACTGACAGAGGGATTTTACTAGCCTCTGAGTAGTACATACCTAGTTCTCTTGTTTGCACAGGGAGGAGAGGCTGTGATTCGCTTGTTACAGAAGCGATTATCTTTGAGTTCAAGGCCAGCTGAAGTAAGTGTGTGCAAAGGCAGCCCAGGCGTATTCCTAGAGGGGAGGCCACATATTCATCAGGCTCCACATCACACGGAAACAGGACCTTCAGTGGCCAAGTGAACTGGCTTCTGTGCCTGTAGCTGAAGGAATGCACCCACATCTCCACATGGCTTCCAGGGCCACAGCTGGAATTTCACTCAGATTGGAGAGCAATGTCTTGCATACTCCTAAAATGCAAAAACGTCACACCACCCTTTAGGAAAAATGATCCTTGCTCTAATTTGTATCTTTTTACTGTTTTTTTCCCCCCTCATTCCTCTTACATCACAGGCTGAGAAACAAATTCATAGCCCTGGATTACCTGTGAAATGACCCCCCCATAGAAGGTGCATACGCACACATATGCATATGCATGGGCAAAGGAACTGATATGGAAATGATAAAATAAAGATGATGGTGGGAAATTGAGAGAAGGCAAAAGTATGTCGACAGAGTTTTTCTTTAAACAATAGCTATGTTCATTGATATCAAATACTATGCTAAGCATGCAAATAAGTTCTTGCATCTTGTCCATACATCAACCCAACGAGTACAGTATTATCCTTATTAAAAATGTGGAAACTGGGGCCGGCCCGGTGGCACAGTGGTTAAGTGCTCACGTTCTGCTTCAGCGGCCTGGGGTTCACTGGTTCAGATCCTGGGTGCAGACCTACACACTGCTTGTCAAGCCATGCTGTGGTAGGCGTCCCACAGATAAAGTAGAGGAGGATGGGCACGGATGTTAGCTCAGGGCCAGTCTTCCTCAGCAAAACAAGGAGGATTGGCAGCAGATGTTAGCTCAGGGCTCATCTTCCTCCAAAAAAAAAAAAAATGTGGAAACTGAGGCAGCATAGCATGGAAGCCTTGGAACGAGCTCATTTGCTTTCAAAATCAGGCTCTGCCACTTGCTGGGGAAGTTACTAAATTCTGTTAGTCCATTTGTTTTCACATAAAAGGGGGAGGGACTCTACCTCAGGAGGCTGTTGTGAGGATTAAATGAGATATATAAGATGCTAAAGGCAGAGTGTTAACATTTTAGGAGATTCATTTCCTCCTAGTTCTATAAATAAATGTTCAAAAATTAGTTCAGTCCAGTCACAAAAAATTGTAGATTTCTTTAAAAAAAAAACCCAACCCCGATTATCTGACTTGAATGATTTGGAAGGTTTATAAAACCATAGATATAGGCTAGCTCTTGAAAATGTTGAGGGAGAATTAACGGTTTCCAAGCACTAGAGTGTACTTTGATTTGGGTATTCTTTAGTTTACAAGATATCAGATTAGCCTTGATTAGAAAGATTTCACAGTTCCGAAGGGGACAAACTCATTTGCTTGATTCTGCTGTTTCTTCCCTCCACCCACAACTCTGTGTGTAGGAGTGGGGCAAAGAGGGAACTGCTGAGCCTGACTCCCACCAGCTTGGATGGCCAGCCCTCAGCCACAGTGAACTCGGTATGTGTGTCCCAGCAGGAAACACAGTGACAGGTCCATTCTCCAGTCCTAGTTGGGGGTCCTGGAGAAGAGGAGAAGGACTTGGAGAGCTCCTGATTTCTTCTCTCAGGTAGCCAAGGCAGACTAGTCTAGGAAGGAGACAGAAAGCCGCCCGAACAGGTCAAGACCAGTCTGAAGGAGGCAGACACAGGTGCTGAAGGGAGCGAGGGACAATTTACTAAGAGAGTGTGTGTACCCTGTACATGCATGCATGTGGACACAGGAAAAGAGCTATCCCCCTCCCCCTTACCATGAAACTCTCACCGTGGATCATTAAGGGTTGAAAGACCAGCAAAGTATCCTCTGACAAATGTACTGAAATGAATGGTTTCTCAAGGTAACTTTACACTGTTTTCAAAATCCCTTTCTACTCTGATGTTTCCTGCTCAAATGTTGAGGCCAATGGTCTGGTGCTTCCTTTTTGAAAGTAGGCCCCTCAGCTCATATGAAACTAACTTAAAAGTCAACCCTGAGAGTCTGAGCCTTGGGCCAAGCAAACGGCAAGTGATTCCCTCACTGTCATCCCCCACCTTCCGGAAGAGAGTGGGTCTACCCTGAGCAGCTAGCCCGGAGGGGTCAGGAGAAGAGAGTTCGTCCCTGAGCTCGAGGCATCTGAAAACTACTACTGGTTACTGCCTCTCGGGGGCATACTGTCCCCTAAGTACAGCTCCCAGGGAACCTATGGTTCTTCCATTCTCTGGCCAGACCGTCTTCCTTCCACTTCCCCGACCTCCAGCACCAGGGCCCAGCTCAAGGCCACAAATCCTGAAAGGGCCAGCCAGGTGGCTCCAGCCCATACAACCCCCTCTCGCGGCGCACGCTACCCGGTTCTTGGCCTCCGCTTGTAGCAGGGTGGACGGGGTGGACTGGGCATAGTGGTGGCTAACCAGGCGCCCCACAGACAGGAGACTCATCTTCATTACCAGCCACAGTCAAGATGTTTGTACGAAGGCCCGCTGATCTTAACAATGTGCCCGCCTGGGAACGTGGGGTGGCTGTGCTCGGGCGGCTGGCGTCCCTAGAATCGAGCGTTCTTCGCTGGGATGGGGGCGCAGGTGGGAAACCCGGTTTAACAAATTCTTCGCTTGATTCTGGGGAGCATGTTCGTGGCTCCAAATCTTGGCAGGCGGCGGCCGAAACTCGCAGGTCCCGTTCCGGGCCGCGGCCCCAGTCCCTTGGTGGGGAGAGCCCTCTGCAGCGGCGGTCGGAGCAGGTGACGGGCCGTCCGGGCGGCTCCGCTCCCCTTCCTGGAGCCTAGAAGCAGCCGCTGCGCCCCGTCTGCTCGCCCTCCGTGGTCGGCGCCGACCTGGGAGCGGGGGCCCGTGGCCACACTGCGTTGCTCGTCTGCGGGAGGCGTCTGAAGTCGGCGCTTCCTGCCTTTTCCCCGGCCTGGGCTCCCCGCTCGCGCGGCGGGTACAGAGATTCCCGGGTCGCCCCGCCCCGCCCCGCCGCCCGCGCCCTGCTCGGTGCGCGCAGCGTCCCCGCCCCCAGCCCCAAACCCCCACCCCCAGTGCCCTTAGGGGGGCACCCCCATTGGGGCGGGAGGGTGGTCCGCCGTGCCCCGGTCCCCGAGTGGCGGAGAGGTGACGGTAACCGCCTTCCCATTTCCGCCCGGTCTGCAGCGCGGCAGGGTGAGTGCCAGCGCAGAGGGCTCGGTCCTCGCTCCGCCCGCCCGCGCCGGGGGCTGGCCTTGCCTCAGCCGGCGCCTTTTTCCCCCCGCACCGCGGCGCCGCTTCGCCACTCGGGCACCGCAGGTAGGGCAGGAGGCGGGAGCGCCTGCCGCCCGCCGCCCGTAAGATGGTCCCCTCGGCTGGACAGCTCGCCCTGTTCGCGCTGGGTACGTACGCCGCCTGCTGCACGCCGGCGCCCCCTGCCCTCCGCCGCACCCCGCTTTCCCTGTCCTTCATGTCTCGTCCCCGGGCTTTTCTGCGCCCGCCTAGGAGGCTGGAGGGAGGCTAATACTTTAGGGGTTGGAAGTTGGGAGGCGAGGGGCGTCACTGGGGCTTACTAGGGGTTTGGGGAACCCGCTCCAAAGAGGGGGACCGTCGAGCGCCCAGGCTTGCCCGGGAAGTGGCCGCCTGGGCCGTGCGTGAGAAAGCCCGCCGGGGAAGGGGAAGCGGTGTGTGAACTTTAATCCGCCGCGGCTGTGTGTGTCTGTTCGTACACTTGCCCACACCTACCTGTTCACCTGGCTGCCTCCAAGCCGGTCTTCACCGGCGTTGGTGACGTGTAGACTCTGGGGGTGACCGGCGACCCACCCTCCGGCAGGACCCTGCCTGCTTCCCTTTCCTACCCCCTGCCCACCCCTGCCCACTTCTGCCCACCAGCGATGGACAGAGGGTCACGGTCAGCAGCGGCACCCTCAATCTTCTAACTTGCAGAGCTCTTGAGCTTTGGGGTAGGTTTTGGGTTTTTGTGCGGATTAATTGTTCTTTTAATTAACTTCCCCGGGAGACGTGGTTGAAGTGTCAGCCGAGGGCAGGAGTGAAACCCTAGACGGAGCGTTGCCAATTTCCTTTGAGTTTGTTCTGGGGAGGGAACAAGGGATGGGGGAAGGGAGGAGCAGACGGGTCTGCGGAGCCCGTGAGCTGCTCGGCGGTGGCGTCCGCAGGCCGGCGTGTAAGTGGCGAGGGGCGCAGCGCCGCGCGCCCTGGCCGCCTCTTGCCCTTCGCGGTCGGGTCGCTCCAGTGTTGAGATAGCAAATTAACAGCCCAGGTGCCCTGGTTATTGCTGCCGCTCCCGTGAAAGGAATTGTTCTGCCGATATCCCCTGAGTTTAACCCTGAAAAGCAAGTTGCTCGCTACAGGGTCGTGTATTAGAGTGCGAGGAAAGCTATGGAGCCCCTCCCCCGAAAAGCTCAGAGCCGCAGCCTCACCCGGTTTTGCACAGGGTTTCACGAGGCGCACGGACCCGCCTGTAATCCTGCTGATGAAACGCTCGTAAAGAACCGCGGCCCGAAGGGAGGCATCCACGGAGGGAAACACCGAGCAGGGATGGAACCGGATGCGCCAACAGTACCCTATTGAAACTCACCAACAGGTGGCACGATTATGGGCCGCTTTCCCTCCCTCCCCTTTTGCAAGATTTGATTTTTTTTTTTGTATTGACGGTTCTGATTTCAGATTTTTTTAAAGCAATGAAACATTACCAATACAGTAGCAGCTTCCTGTGTGCGGTTCCCTGTTGTAATGTGTTTTGCAAACACTAGTCGTAGTAATAATGAATGCTAATACTGTTGGAGCGCTTACTCTGTGCCAGGCACTGTTCTAAGTGCTTGACGTGTATTAACTCACTTAATTTTCACACCAACCTGGTGAAGAAGGTATCATCCCCATTTTATAACGGAGGAAAGTGAAGCGCGCAGGGCCCACCGTTAGTAAGTAGTTGGGCCAGGATTATTAAAGTGCGGAAGGAATGTGGATATGAAAAGTCGCCTAACTGGGGTCACTCTAGTCCCATCTCCCAGGTTTGGGATTTTTCCTTGAGACTAGATTCTGTGAAATACCCTGCAACTTGCTGTTAAATTGGGTTTTCTGTTGGACTCCTAGGATCTCAAGGTGGCCTGAGGTTATTCAGTGAAAATTAAAGGCAGGAAATAATGAAGGTAAGCAAATTTGAGGAAGCATTGGAAAGTTGCTCCCCATCATAGCATACTTGCCCATGAAGACTGCATTCATTCATCGTGTAGTTTTTCTCTCACCTAAGAGTTCAGCTTGATCTTTGTTTCCTTCCTTAAGAAAAAGATGTATTGGGGCCGGCTGGTGGCGCAGCAGTTAAGTTCGCAGGCTGGGCTTTGGTGGCCCAGGGTTCGCTGCTTCGGATCCCGGGTGCGGACATGGCACTGCTTGGCAAGCCATGCTGTGGTAGGCGTCCCACATATAAAGTAGAGGAAGATGGGCATGGATGTTAGCTCAGGGCCAGTCTTCCTCAGCAAAAAGAGGGAGGATTGGCAGCAGTTAGCGCAGGGCTAATCTTCCTCAAAAAAAAAAAAAAAAAAGATGTATGAACTTCAAAAGATTGGTCAATATGTAAAAGCTGGCTCCTACAATTCCAAAGTGTGAGCAGTTGAAACAAGTAGAGGAAAAACAAGACTGGAGTAATTTACACCCTGAGGAGTCCTTTTCACTTATATATCTTTAAAAAAAAAAAAAGCCATTAGTTCTGTGCCTTGACTAGAACTTCTGCCTCCCACCTCATTTTCCATAGATTACTAAATAGTACTTGTCAGTGCCACAGGCAGCTTTCATTTGCACATTTCCTCCAGAGCTGCTTTCCTCTTTGATTTTTCTTAAATTAGCTAAAGGCAGTTCCAGGCAAATCAGCCAGTGTTCCATTGCTAATCAAGATCTAGAAAACTGGGATGTCTCCCCTTCTTCCCCACGCTGGTGGGGACAGTCTGAGAAGGAACCAGCTGTTAGGAGTCTCAGTCAACACTCCTGATTGCTTGGAACCTGAACGTTGATTGATGTTTTGGCGGAGAGGATGTGTAGGCTGTTGCTTAAATGGCAACATTGGAAAAGTAATCCAGGTTCCTGTGGTGGCTGCCCTCCCATGTAAGGTTTCCATCACTGGCAGCGCAAACCTCACAGGGGCTTGGCACCTCCAGTCCCATATCCTCCTCTGTGTCCAGGGAGCAAGATGTGTAATCTTGGGCAAGTTACATAGCTTCTCTGTGTTTTTGTGGGGGGTTTTTTTTGTCTGTAAAATGGTGATATTAATAGGGTTGTTGAATATGTTTAATAAATGCAGAATGGTGCCAGGCACATAGTAAGAGCTTAATCGATCTTAGCGCCATCATCATCATCATCATTGTTCCTTTGAACCTCATAGAATTCCAGATATCATTCATTGCAGGTTATGTTGATTCCGTATCTGGAAGAGTTTCCCTTATCTCCCAGCTCCCACCCTTCCTAAGCCAGAAAAATACCATCCCACCTGAAAACCTACCTCATTATTTTGGTGAATATCCTTTGGCAGGTGACAAATTCAAGCGAGTTTAGGGGTTCTTTTGGACATCGTGAATTCTTTCATTTTGATGCAGAACATTTGTATTTCCTCCTTAAAGTTCATTGGTCAGTTGTTCATTAAAGTCAGCACTCAGTTCCAGTTTTCTCATTGTAAAGTGGGAATAATAAAACTGTACCCACCTCACAGTTTCTTATGAGAATCAAATGAGATGGTAAATATGGAAACTATTTAAAAACAGTAAAAGTAAAGGACTACACACAAAATGAAATTGATTTCATAGTACAGAAATGAGTTTTAAAATCCAGAAGTAAACATTGTTATGACAGCTCCCAGAAGTAGAATGGATGTAGATCTACCGAAGGACGTCTTAGGATGCGAAGTGTCATCAGGGGTGGGTAGAGATGAAACAGCTCAGCTTCCCTGTGGATTCAGGACTGAGGGACCAGTAGGGGGCATGAAGTAAGATGTTTTTTTTCTCCATTACATGTAAATAATGTCTTTCAGAGTAGACAGTGGAGGTTGGCCCAGGACACATGTTTTCCTTATTGGGCAGCCATAATTAGGGAAAATTCACTTAGAACAAGGGCTGTAAAGGTGAATATGGAAGCTTTAGAGTTACCAGTATTTGCTTTTCCAAAATTTGGTTTCCTCAGGATAAAGTAATCTTTCTGTAAATACTCAATGTACCCTGGAAAGGAGACCTTTCTTATAGGAGTAAATGATGCTTCATGTTGCTGTGGTAACACATGAAAAATAGCCGCCTTTTCCATTAGCCCTACTACCTCTAAGGACCTTTTGAAAGTGTGTTTGAACATGGTGCTATTCTTTGGGCTGCCCACTAAAAGGAAGCGGCAATGGGAAGTGGGGATTGGGTCAACCAAAGTGGGACTAGCCTGACACACTGAATTGGGCATCTTGTGCTTGGTTTCACACTCAAAACCTCTGTACTGTCTTCCACAGCGGTGCCCTTAAATCAGAACCACGTGGAAGGCTTGGTAAAGCAGATAGCAGGGCAGGAGGTGGGAGAGCACGTGTCTGAGGAGTTCCCAGGTGTGGCTTATGCCCCAAAGGGGTGGGACCCTTTGAGCACCACTGCTCTATAGTCAGTTGCTGTTAGGGAAACTTTGGGCTTAACCAATTGCATTTTATCCTAAGTCCGTTCTGACGTTTATAAATGCCACTGTGGTTTTATGGGCCATTATTAAAGGCCTGTCTTGCGGACCAGGGCTGAGTTAAAACTCTTGCTGAGATCTCTTAATTGTCCTAAGTGTTCTAGTACTTTATCCATGGAAAATGTAATGGTCCCATGTTGTGACACTTACGCTGACCAATGCTAATCATGTCATATTTTCTCTTTTTGGATCACCAAAATTTGACGTTGTTTGGCTGCCATTTCAAATAGTTTTAATCACTTCATTTTAAAGTATGAACTTAATTCTATGCTAAAGGCTAATATGCTTCAGATTGCATCTG